GGTACCAACAGAAGACTGGAGAGAGCCCCAAATACCTTCTCTATGATAACAACAACAGTGGCAGGTTCTCAGGGACCATTGACAGCTCTGCCAATGCAGCCTATTTAACCATTACAAACCTCCAGGCTGAGGATGAGGCTGATTACTATTGTGGTGGTGGTTATGGCAGTGGCAGCAACTGGAGGTATCCACAGTGATACACTCCCTTGCAGAAGTGAGACAAAAACCTCCCCTTGTGCTTACTTGCAAACACTTCCTTCTTCCCCTGAAGAGGTTTGACCATGTGGAGGAGCACTCGCTACATCATTAAAATATTGTAAGAGAGACAACGTTAGATTAAGGCTGATTTCCTGAACTTAACACTGGTTGAAAACATTGTGGACATATCAAGCCAGGGAAGGTGCTGAATTTGTGCCGCACAGATCTCAGTTGGGAAAGTGATTTTGCCAAAATCCTAAATTCTGCAGGATTGTGGACGTTTTCTTCTAGGGGGAAAGAGAAAGAGGTTCAGGGGGATCTTAGACCAAACCAGCTACTGTAACATGGTCCCCCTATGTATTTCTAGGTTCCAAGTGAGAGGAATGAAACAAACGTTTAATAACAAGCAGGAAAGCTTCTCTTTCCTTCCAGTGCAATTCTTCTTATCCAAACCCAGCTAATAAGATGCATGCAGAATTTGCATAAAGGGGAGGACTTGGATTCTTGGGGGTTTAAAGGGAACATGGCAGACTCCCAAATTGAGTCTCCCAAAAAGATCAGCTCTCCATCATGGCCTGGTCTCTGCTGTTGGCTTTCTTCTTCTTATGGTGCACAGGTAATTTAGGAAGAATCCTCACCTCTGGATTTATCTCTGCCAGAAGTCATGGTTTGGAAATCATCAGGTTCAAGCTTTAACTGTGGTTTTAACCTGATCTCAAAGCCACTCCATTCAAGTCTTTCCCAGCAATTGAAATTCAGGGATATCTGGATTTCAAGCAGAGCAGCTCTTCAAAGATACTTTAATAGTATATCTATAGGATGTCTCACTTCATTGTCTTCCATTTTTTATTCTCAGGAGCCAACTCACAGTATACCTTGAGTCAGCCTATGGCACAATCGTTTCCATCGGGACAACCGGCGAAGATCCCATGTACCATGAGCCGAGACAGCCAAGTGAGCACCTATGGCATATATTCGTACCAACAGAAGGCTGGAGAGAGCTCCAGATATCTTCTCATTAATACTGACAGTAACGGCTGGTTCACGGGGTCCAAGGATTCCTCTGCCAATGCAGCCTGTTTAACCATTACAAACCTCCAGGCTGAGGATGAAGCTGATTATTAACGTGCTGGTTATTACACCAGGGGCAACAACCGGTGGTATCCACAGTGATAAAGTAACTTGCGAAGTGAGACAAAAACCTCCCTTGGTGCTTAACTTGCAAACACTTCCTTCTTCCCCTTAGTGAATCATCAATGTTGACTGGGAAATACTTACACAGTTCATACTCAAAGAACAGACTCAGTTCTTCTCTCAGCCTTGCTATGCATACGGTCCTGCTTCATTCTGGAATAAACAGAAATAAATTCTCCATTTTCATCACCGTTGCAATAAAAAGCATTGCACACAATAACGTCTTAGTATTGTTTGTTCCCCTTTGAATTAAAATTTGGAAATTGATATTTCTCATGGGAAGGAGACTACAAGGAAGCTGTTCTGGGACCTTTTTCATTCCAAGGGCTTCAAGAGAGAAAGAATGCCAAGCCAGGAGTCTCTCTGAGGTGAGGATTAAATTATGGATCCTGACCTCCAACATCTTCCTGTGATTCTCCCCCTCCCTTCACTCTTTCTTGACATGTCAGTCATCTTGAGGAATGTAGGAGGATTTTCCCACAGATGATTTGTTTCCTAATGGCAATTATGTACCATATGCAGGAAAATATTCCTTTCCATGCATCCTGCTTCCCATTTGGACCCATCTCAATGCTCTGAAGTTCTACCTGTCCACAGAATGTTAAGTCAGTCAACACCCTACGTTCCTGTTGCTTCTGCTTGCTCTGCTGGGCCACATACCTGTTGCAAAAGAAGAGAACATGTGCCATTGTTTTTCTCTACATGTCTGCGAGCTGATCAAGTACCTGATTATTGTGGGGCACAGCGGAGTCTATTCTCCCCATGGGGAAGGACCACACTAACACCAAAGACACTTTCTTAGATTCTGTTTCATTCAGCGCTTTCTCTGAATAATTCATTGGCTGTCTTAACACAAGAACATTTCACCAAACCTAAGGGCTGCGTGCGCAGAACAAGCTAAGGAAAAGTACCCAAGATTCAATGGTATTTATGAGGGTGCAAATGCATTGGTGAATATCCAAATATCTGTTGCAAAACTTAACAGGATTTGTTGTTTGACTGGGGACGGGAACAATTGCATGTGAATAAATTGTGACAATCCTCTCCACAACTTCCAGGATTTTTTTCCTGGAAGGATAAGAACTGGGAAAACATTATCAGTGCCCTAGGAATGTTTTCCCCTGGCTTTTGCAAATTACGTCCCGTAACGGGATTGATCAAAAGGCTGTTCGTTGACATCGATGAATCTTGAGAAAGGTCTAGTCCTCAACAGATTTATGGGGACCTCGGACTGACCGTCTGAAACCAGATCCTGCCACAAGGCTACCCACAGGTATATCTAGGGCCAAAGAGAGACGAATCAAACAAGAGATTAAAAAGAAGCAGGAAACAACCCGTTTCCTTCAAGTGCAATTCTTCTTTTTTTGATAAAAGTTTTTATTTTTTAAGACAACCATATACATACAAAACATAAAAACATCAAGCCATCTTCCATTACAGTGTGTCAGTTGGTTACAAATCTTTTGTGCTATCCTTTCATAGTCATTACTCACAGTTTATATAAATTCTCACATTGTCAATCTAACATATGCTTATATATTTATCAGTGATTAATCATTCATGACTAAACTATTTATTCCATCATTTTATATGAGATATACTAGATTTTATTATGAAATTTATATTGTACTTTCATCCAAAGGTTATATATATCTGTATTATATTTTATATCGATCTATTAAACTTCTATTACAAACTTTCCTAGTCTATTACATTACCATGTCTTTTTATCCAACCATTGATAAAACATATCCCATATCATATAAAATTGTTTATCTTCTTGTTCTCTAATTTCAAATGTCAATTTACTCATTTACACAGGTATATCTAGGGCCAAAGATAATTCTTTATTGAGAATAGAATAGAATGTTTATTGACAAGAGAAGAGAAGAGAAGAGAAGAGAATCTTTATTGAGAATATAATAGAATAGAATCTTTATTGAGAATAGAATAGAATAAAATAGAATAGAATTTTTATTGAGAATAGAATAGAACAGAATAGAATTCTTTATTGAGAATAGAAGAGACTAGAATGTTTATTGAGAATAGAATAGAACAGAACAGAATAGAATAGAATAGAATAGAATGTTTATTGAGAATAGAATAGAATAGAATAGAATAGAATAGAATAGAATAGAATAGAATAGAATAGAATAGAATAGAATTCTTTCTTGCCCAAGTGTGTTTGGGCACACAAGGAATTTGTCTTGGTGCAAATGCTCTCAGTGTACATAAAAACAAAAGAAATAGAATCATCAGGTACAACACTTAATAACAGTCATAGGGTACAATAAGCAATCAAATCACACTAGGAAACAGTCAATATAAATCGTTAGGATACAAGCAACAAGGTTACAGTCATACAGTCACAAGTGGGGGGGATGGGCAATAAGGACTGGTGAGAAGATTAATAGCAATAGTAATGCAGACTGATACACCCATCGGTACACATGATTGTACACGGCTGAAAAAGCTAGACAGGGTTAGAGCTTGGTCAACTCTTGAATGGGAGCCTACCCAGGACTCCCCTTTCTGAAGCAGAGCAGCCCAGGGTCCCTCAGATAGCTGCCGGCAAGGAACTCAAGAAGCATCACCTATCTGAAAGTTGGTGGACTTTCACTCTGATGGGAGATATGGCCCAATGAGAAGTCAGGAAAGGTGGAGGAGGAGCTAGGCATGTAAATGGATTCTGAACCAAGTGGACTTGATCTTAGGAGGTC